CAGGGCGTGCCTGGGGTCCCATCCTGCTCTGCTCCCCGGCCAGCTTCCTGCTCGTGTGAACCCTGGCAGGCAGGTGCTGGTGGTTCCAGAACTTGGGTCCCTGCCACCAATATGGGCCAGCTGGATTGAGTGCTGGGCTCCTGGTATGAACACAGTATACCAGTAAATAGATAACCCCCAGACCCCCAGTTACGTCCTTTTAAAAAAGATCCAGCAGGAAGAAAACTCGATGGAACGTGTTTGAACTCCACGCCATCATCGTCAACAGAATAAAATGGTTATCTTTATTTAGACTGTTTCACCTAACTCAAGTCCGCATGACTCATTGGCCAAAGCAAGCTGTACTCTGGGCCATGGAGCACACCTTTAGACGTACCACATGGCTGGGGCTGCTGTGATGGTCCATTGGCTAGTCTTCCTGCAAGCACCTGCAAGCCACTTGGTCAACAGTTCATGTCCGGGCAGCCCTGCTTCCCGTCCAGTCCCCTGCTGGTGGCCTTGGAAAGCAGTGGAGGATGGCCCCGAGCCTTGGTGTGGGGAGCGGGGTGCTGAAGCCGCTCCAGGATTGAGAGGGGCTGTCACAAGATGGCAGCTGGCCCAGAACCAGGAGGTAGAGTTGGTCTCCAGCAGGTAAACAGGAAGTCACAGGGATAGGCTAAAATCCCCACTGCGATTATGTCATTGCTACTGGCCTATCACATAGCACCAAGTGGACCCACGGGGAGAAGTGATTGGTGGAGAATGGTATAAAAGTAGCCAGTAAAAGCTAGGCGGGGGACAGACTGACGCAGACGATCAACGGCAAGGGACAAAACGGACAGACGACTAAGAGAGACAGATGGACAGACAGAATGGACAGGCAATGACGACAACAGGAGAAAGACTAGGGAAAGAATGACACATGGAACAGGAAGAACGGGGCAGCAGCGAGGGGAAGAAGGGTTAAGATCTTCAGGTAGAAAAGCTAAGGTGTACAAGAATGGACAAAAGCGGGCAGAGGGGTACAAAAGCAGGATAGAAGCAGTAAGAGCAGTTTGGAGAGACGGGGACAAGAACGGAGAAATGCAGCAGAAAGTACAGGAAGAAATATGGGAAGAAGGTGGCGGAAAGAGGGCTGGAGAAGTGGCAGAGAAAAGCTAAGGCAAATGGGGACGGGGCAGCGGAGAAAAGGGTTTAAACGCAGCCACTTTTGGCAGTGAGAGGTCCGGTTGAGGTTCCGGCTTTCCTGGACCCTCCTGGCTTCAGATCGGCTCAGCTTCAGCTGTCATGGCCATTTGGGGAGTGAACCAGATGATGGAAGATCTTTCTCTGTCTCTCTGTAAATCTGCTTTTCCACTAAAATAAAATAGAAAAATTAAAAAAAAAAAAAAGCAATAATACATCTCTGCTCCTCTGCTCTCAGACCGCAGTGGAATTAATTAGAAGCCAATAGCAGAAAGATGGCCAGAGAGTCCTGTCTACGTAGAATGCCTGGAGTGTGGTGGTGTGGCCTGCAGGCTCAGAGCCCTGGCTTGGGTCTTGGGTGCTCCACTCCTGGTCCAGCTCCCTGCCGACGTGCCCCGGAAAGGGGAGGAACATGCTGGGGGTGCTTGGGCCCCTGCTGCTCTCGAGGGAACCAGGTGAAGCTCCAGGCTGCTGGCCATGGCTTGGCCCAGTCCAGGCTGTCGCGGCCATGTGGGAGATGAACCAGCCCATGCAAAACCTCGGTTTCCTTTCTGTACTTTGCTTCTCTAGTGAATAAAGCTTTTAAAACACACACACACCCCTAAATAATACTGTATCAAAGACAAAATCTTGAGGGAAATATTAAGATAGATTGAACTAAAGGAAATAAAAATTGTCAGAATTTGTTGAGATAAATTAAAAGCAGTAGTTAGACATTTATAGCATTGAAGGCGCACTTTAAAGATTTCGAATTAGTCATCTGACTTCCACTGGAGGAGGCTGAGACGGGAGGGCCCGTGGAGCCTGAGAGCAGGGGATGCAGGCTTGCAGCAGAGGCCTCTGGGCAGAGCGGGGTCCTGGGACGGGCTGTCGCTGTCACGTCTCCCCACGTCTAAGACATCACCAGATTGGACAGTGGCTTTTTTGGATGGAACATCAAAAACATGACCCTTGAAAGCAGTGAGTACCTGGATTTAGTTAAAACTAAACGTTTCTGCTGTGTTAAAGATGCTGGAAGAGACCAATCACAAACTGGGAGAAAATATTTACAAAAGACATGCAACTGGTAAAGGGCTGTTATCCAGAATATACAGAGAGCTAAACTATGTCCACGCGAAGACCTACACGGTGCTTGCAGCAGGGCCCGGCGCGGTAGCCTAGTGGCTAAAGTACTCCCCTTGAATGTGCCAGGATCCCATATGGATGCCAGTTCTAATCTCAGCTGATCCGCTTCCCATCCAGCTCCCTGCTTGCAGCCTGGGAAAGCAGTCGAGGACGGCCCAGAGCCTTGGGACCCTGCACCTGCGTGGGAGACCTGGAAGAGCTCCTGGCTCCTAGCTTTGGATCTGCTCAGCTCCAGCCGTTGTGATCACTTGGAAAGTGAATCATCAAACAGGAAATATTTCTTTCTGTCTCTTCTCTCTGTATATCTGACTTTCCATTAAAAAAAAAAAAGCATGCGGCAGCCCCAAATTGCCAACACTTGAATGCAAATAAGGTTAACTCTGGTACATCCATACAGTGGAATATTAGTTTTTAAAAATATGGTTAGTTTGATTTGAAGAACAGAATTACAGAGAGAAGGTGAGAGAGAGCTTTTCCATCTGCTGGTTCACTCCCCAAATGGCTGTAACAGCCAGAGCTGAGCCTGTCCGGAGCCAGGAGCCAGGAGCCTCGAGCCTCCTCCGGGCCTCCAGGTGCAGGGCCTAAGGCCTTGGGCTGTCCTCTGCTGCCTTCTCGAGGCCGTCAGCAGGGAGCTGGGTTGGCACGACAAGCGGAGGCGTGTTCACTGTGCCACAGGGCCAGGCCTCTGGAGGAACCCTCAGCGGCTGAAACGGTTGTCAAAGTGTGCGTGCTGCGTGTTCCCAACTGTGTGTCCTTCTGGAAAAGGCGAAGCTACAGGAGCGGGGCAGAGGTGGGAGTCGGCGCAGTGCAGGGGTGGGAGTCGGCGCAGTGCAGGGGTGGGAGTCGGCGCAGTGCAGGGGTGGGAGTCGGCGCAGTGCAGGGGTGGGAGTCGGCGCAGTGCAGGGGTGGGAGTCAGCGTAGAGCAGGGGTGGGAGTCGGCGTAGAGCAGGGGTGGGAGTCGGCACGGGGCAGGGGTGGGAGTCGGCGCAGTGCAGGGGTGGGAGTCGGCATAGAGCAGGGGTGGGAGTCGGCACGGGGCAGGGGTGGGAGTCGGCGTAGAGCAGGGGTGGGAGTCGGCACGGGGCAGGGGTGGGAGTCGGCGCAGTGCAGGGGTGGGAGTCGGCACGGGGCAGGGGTGGGAGTCGGCGCAGTGCAGGGGTGGGAGTTGGCGCAGTGCAGGGGTGGGAGTCGGTGCAGTGCAGGGGTGGGAGTCGGCACGGGGCAGGGGTGGGAGTCGGCGCAGTGCAGGGGTGGGAGTCGGCACGGGGCAGGGGTGGGAGTCGGCGCAGTGCAGGGGTGGGAGTCGGCATAGAGCAGGAGAACTTCTGTGGGGCACACTCATGATGCCTGTGTAATGGTCCGAGTTTACCCAGCCCCACGCCCAGCACAGGACGTGGTGCTCCAGAGTCATGCGATGGGATTAAAAGCTTGTCTTGGTGCCACGTTTTTGAAAGCCCTTCTTAATTTTCATAAAATACATGCCCACATGAATGTTTCAAAGATCCTCAAATACGTGATTTCAGTTTTTGTACCAAAATGAATCTACTAGGAAGCATGGCAGAGCCGAGCCTTGCATCAGATGGCTCACTGCCCAAATGCCCAAGGAGGCTAGCATCCCTCAGCTCCAGCTGCACCTCCCGGCAGTTGTTGGACCTGAGCACTGGCTCCCGGCAGGCGGCAGGCGCAGGGCAGCCAGCACTCCGGCCACCTGCTGGGCCATGGTCTCTAAGTGTGTTTTCGCGGAGTCTTGATGTGTGACCTGTGAGCGGTGACCTGTCCCCTGCTGTGGAGCACTGGTCTGTCTTGCTGTGAAATGGAATTTCTTCGCATAGGCTCTTTCCAGAGCTTTTGATATTTCCTAATGCAAGTGAAACTGGTTTATTTAAGTTATTTTCAAATTATAAATTCAAATCTGTGAGCTTTTAATACAAGCAGCAGAGATGTGTAGGTGTGTCTAGAATTGAATGCACTTATACAGAATTCCATTATTATTTTATTTCTTTAGCTCTGAGTAGCCAAGTTTTGGAAGTTTGCCTTCAGAAAAAAATTAATCTATATTCTGGTAAAGAGCTTACCATTTTAGAAATAAAAGTGATTCACAATAAAATTTTGATGCATTTTAATCATACCACATTTAACATTTAGAAAACAATATTGGACATTTTTACAATCTATTCATTTAACAAATGCTTTTTAACTGCAATCTAAGTGCCAGGCTCTTTGGATAATTTTGATGTAAATGTATTAGTGAGCAAAAACAGAAAGTTGATTTTTTACTTTCCTTAATGCTCTTTTTAGACATTTTAAAGTCAACTGTGTGGCTGGTGTTGTGGCTGTCGCACGACTCTGCTGTGATGTTTGTCTCCACCCACAGTGGATCTCAGTGCGCTAGGCCTGCACTGCTGTGGAGGTGTCCCCATGTCAGACCACAGGGGACAGGTGTGCTGCCGTGGAGGTGTCCCCATGTCAGACCACAGGGGACAGGTGCACTGCCGTGGAGGTGTCCCCATGTCAGACCACAGGGGACAGGTGCACTGCCGTGGAGGTGTCCCCGTGTCAGACCGCAGGGGACAGGTGTCCTGTTGCTGAGACCCGAGCCCAGGCATGCGGAGCGCCAGGTGGAACGCAGTCCTGACCGCGTCTCATGCTTTGCTCTGTTTGTTCTTTCTTCCATGTCCTGCCTGCGTGAAACTCTGGCTCCTCCAAAACAGCACGGTAAGAAAGCTGTTCCTCTGCCCTCAAGCCTCCACAGCCTCGCTCTCCTCTGCTGAGAAGCCCCCTTGCTGCCCTGGCCTCAAGCTAGGGGCCACGGCGCCTCTGGGCTGCTGCCCTGCGGGCCGGCCCGCTAGCCCTGGGTGGGGCCCTGGCCAAGTCCTGTGGGCAGCTGACGGCCGTAGTGGCGGGCCCTCGCCCTTCCTGCCATCCTTACAGTGAGCCTGTGGATGGAAGATCTCCTTATCCCTCCGTCTCATTCTTTCAAATAAACAAACAAATATTAAAGATTTAGTTATTTTATTAGAAAGGGAGATCTACAGAGAAGGAGGTATGGAGAGAAAGATCCTCCGTCTGCTGGTTTATTCCCCAAGTGGTGGCAAGTGGCTGCAATGGCCAAAGCTGAGCTGATGGGGAGTCAGGAGCCTGCTCCAGGTCTCCCACGCAGGTGCAGGGTCCCAAGGCCACAGGCTGGGAGCAGGATAGGAAGTAGAGCAGCTGGGACATGAACAGATACCCACACGGGGTCCTGGTTCATGCAAGATGCGGACTTCAGTTACTAGGCTACTGCCCCGGGCCCATAAATAAAACAGAAGGGAGGGCTGGGCCTGGCTCAGGGCCAGTCTGCAGGCTCTGCTGTGCCCCCCAGCTCACGCATGGCAGACTAGATGCCAGGAGGACCTTCCACGGCAGAACAGTGCAAACAGACCAAGTGGAGGGAGGCCCGGTCCAAGGAGGAGGAAATGGAGGACTGCTGGACTCAAGCAGCTTGAAAATGAAGTGACAGGCTGAGGACAGGCAGGAATAAATGGGCCCTGGAGCACTCGGTCCTCTCTGCCCATGGCCGTGGCCTCACACCACCTGTACAAAGGAACGCTGGCCGGGCCCCGGCCCCGCGGGAGGAGCACCTTGCCAGCCCGGAATCCTACCAACGCCTCGTGGCAGCTGTGCTGGAGTCCCAGCTCACCAAAGCAGACATTCAGTGTTTTGTTTTGTTTTCATTGGAAAGTCAGAAACATAGAAAGAGAGGCAGAGAGGAAGATCTTCCGTCTGCCGATTCCCTCCCCAAGTGGCTGTTACAGCTGGAGCTGAGCTGATTCAAAGCCAGGAGCCAGGAGCCGGGTCTCCCACACGGTGCAGGGTCCTGAGGCTTTGAGCCGTCCTCTACTGCTTTCCCGAGCCACAAGCAGGGAGCTGGATGGGAAGTGGAGCAGTCAGGACACGCACCGGTGCCCATCTGGGATCCCAGGTGTGCAAGGTGACGACTTTAGCTGCTAGGCTACTGCGCCGGATCTGTTGTTCAGTCTTAAAGCGTCTTGCTGACCACGTGGGGAATCTGACATTTTACTGTATCCTAAGCATGACTTTCACCCCATCCCATCTGTGTTACTTGGACTTTCCTTAGTTTTCACGCCGTAGTAAGTGTGTGCGTTGAACATCCCGTCAGTAAGAGAGAAGGCAGGTCCAGGAACACGTCATTTGCCCTGAATTTCTCTCCTCTGAAAGGCAGAGACAGGTGAGCACCGTTCTCACTGCTGTAAGGCCACCCATGGCTGTAGCTTCCCTCACATTGTACAACCTTAATGGGGGCCCAGTGTGCTAGCCTAATGGCTAAAGTCCTTGCCTTGCACACGCCGGGGTTCCATGGGGTCACCGGTTCTAAGCCTGGCAGCTCCATTTCCCATCCAGTTCCCTGGTTGTGGCCTGGGAAAGCAGTCAAGGACGGCGCAAAGCCTTGGGACCCTGAACGTGTGTGGGGGACCCGGAAGGGGCTCCTGGCTCCTGGTTTTGGATTGGCTCTGTTCCAGCCATTGTGGCTACTTGGGGAGTGAATCAACGGACGGAAGATCCTCCTGTGTCTCTCCTGTATGTATATCTGACTTGCCAATAAAAATGAAATAATTTTTAAATGAGATTAGGGGAAAAGTCGAGCGTACAGGAAGCATGCGCCTCACCTCAGAGTTGGTGTAGCCGCTGAGGCCGTGCGCTTTGGGATCCTGGGGGGGAAGTGCGGGTTTACGTCTTTAAGCTCTTGCTACCCAGAAGTATCTTCCCACCTTACTTTGTTAGCATCTGTCACGCTGGGTGCCAGCTGCCAGGGTCTGTGAGTTTCACATAGCTCCTGCAGTTGGAAAACAACTTCCTCCCTTGCTAAAAATGTGTCTTCAGGAAAGGTGCCAATTTAGTCTGTGTTTTCAGAGTTCTTAATAAATAATGCGAATTTGAAAAGGGGAGCTTTGATGGAGAGCAGTTCTAAGAAAGCTAAGCATGTGAGAGAATTACTGTATATATATCATAAACTGCACTCAAAGGTAACGTCCTTTCTCGATTGCCTGTGTGGGACAGTCGGATTCCTTGGTTGTGTCCTGGGAACTGCGGGGCCGTGGAAGGGGGTCCTTTCTCCCCTGAGAATGGCTGACTTACAGGAAATGACAGGAAGCCCTTGTCATGCCGCCAGTGACCTCTGGGATCGGGCTGTTTCACAGTATGGCGTGTCTCACGCTGTGGCTTAAGGGACTCCGCTGCGTTTCTCAGGTCTCTCTTGACGTGTTCCCTCCTCCTCCTCCCCTCTGTCCACGGCGCAGCACTTCTGGGGACCTGTGGCCAACTGGGGCCTTCCCATCGCTGCCATCAACGACATGAAGAAATCTCCTGAGATCATCAGCGGGCGGATGACGTTCGGTAAAGAGGCGGGTGTGGATGACAGAGAGGGCTGCGACAGAAGTTACTGTCACTCAGAGCCACATACACAGAGCGTGTGGCCTCGCAGAGGGTGACCTGTGTGTGACAGGGGAGGACCGACCTGTGTGTGACACGGGGAGCGTGTGGCCTCTCAGAGGGTGACCTGTGTGTGTGACACGGGGAGCGTGTGGCCTCTCAGAGGGTGACCTGTGTGTGTCACACGGGGAGCGTGTGGCCTCTCAGAGGGTGACCTGTGTGTGTCACACGGGGAGCATGTGACCTGTGTGTGTCACGGGGAGCGTGTGGCCTCGTAGAGGGTGACCTGTGTGTGTCACGGGGAGTGTGTGGCCTCTCAGAGGGTGACCTGTATGTGACACGGGGAGCGTGTGGCCTCTCAGAGGGTGACCTGTGTGTGTCACACGGGGAGCGTGTGACCTGTGTGTGTCACACGGGGAGCGTGTGGCCTCTCAGAGAGTGACCTGTGTGTGACATGGAGAGGACTGACCTGTGTGTGACACGGGGAGCGTGTGGCCTCTCAGAGGGTGACCTGTGTGTCACGGGGAGCGTGTGGCCTCGTAGAGGGTGACCTGTGTGTGACACGGGAGGACTGATATGTCTGGGATTGATTGCCCATGTCTGGGGGTTGTTAACTTCCTGCTTTGGTGTCCATGGCAGCCCTCTGTTGCTACTCGTTGACCTTCATGAGATTTGCCTACAAGGTCCAGCCACGAAACTGGCTCCTGTTTGCCTGCCATGCGACCAATGAGGTGGCCCAGCTCATTCAGGGAGGACGGCTCATCCAATATGAGTGAGCATGCATTACTTCACCAGGGGGCTAGTGTGGGGGGCTGGGGACAGGGCCGCCCGGGGCCTGGGTGTGGGGGGCTGGGGACAGGGCCATCTGGGGCCTAGGTGTGGGGGGCTGGGGACAGGGCCGCCCGGGGCCTGGGTGTGGGGGGCTGGGAACAGGGCCATCTGAGGCCTAGGTGAGGGGGTCTGGGGACAGGGAGGCCCAGGACATCTGGGGATGAAGTGTGGGTGTGCTGGAGTGGCTGGGGGTTGGGGGTGTGGAGGGGACGGCGACCCTTTTGTCTCACTGAGTCCTCCTTGGCATCTGCTGCAGGATGACCAAGAAGGCCTCCGCATAGGACGGGCTGAGGCTGCTCCGAGGGCCAGCGTCGCCAGCTGCCGCTGCTGAGTCACAGAGCTGCTCCCCGCCCGCCCCGACCCTGCCAGGGCCCACGGGCAAGGCTGTTTTTACCAACCGTGCACACTGTTTTTATGGAAATAGCCGAGTCCCTGACCCAGCTCTGCTGCCTTACCGTGCGACCTTCTCCCTTCTCTCCATGCAGAGCAGCTCCATATGCAATTAATTTGGCAACTTCCAATGATGGTTTTGTTTGCAATAATATTATAGAATATTGTCTATTCAAATATAATTCATAAAAAGGGATGGGAACACAGTTGACAAGCTTGCTGGGGCTTAGGTCCTGGGGTCCCCGACTCTTCCTGACGGTCATGATGCCCACGCCCGGGCAGTGACCTCCACGCGGGAGCGCTGCTTTGTATTTCCACGCAGTGTGTATATTGGGATGCTGTAACTTAATGGCAATAAATGATTTAAATATTTGTTTACCGAGTGTGACTGCGTATCTCCCCATACTTGGTTTGTTAGGAAACAGTAGAGCCAGTGTCTGAGCAGACACGCGGAGTGGAGAATGAAACCCTGGAAAGTACCCAGACAGCAGAGGAGATGAGGGGCCGCCGGGCCGGCTCTCCAGGGCCCCGGTGCAGCTGGCAGCCCGCCGCCCAGGGACACCGGGCAGCACTCACGTACCCAGCCCTGAGTGTGCCAAGCGGTTCCCTGCATGTCCGTGCCTGTGATGGAGCGTGGTGTGAGAAAGGAACAGTGACCAATACTGCAGGAGCAGTTGTTCCGGAAGTCAGTTGGAGGCTGTGTCCTGCGTCTCAGGGGACCTTGTGGTCTGCTCTGTCCCTTGCCATCCTGCCCACTGTGGCCTGGGACGATCGACCACTGGAAGCAGAATCGTACTCGCCAAGGCCCCCTGCTCCCCCGAGGCACTGCCAATGCAGGGAACACATGGAAGTGGCTTCCATTTCCCACGTGCATGGTGCCAGGGAGAGGGAGACGCACGGTCTGCCATCTACTGTTTCACTCCCCAAACGGCCGCAGTGGCCAGGGGCTGCATCCGTGCCTCGGGCTCTGCTGCTTTTCCAGGCGCCTCAGCAGGGAGCTGGTACAGAGGCAGAGCAGCTAGCACTGGGACCAGGAATTCCAAATGAGATGGTGGCCTTGGAGGGGCAGTTTAACCCTCTGCCAACCAAAGTGGTTGGTTCTGTGATGACCCGAGAACCGCCCAGTTGTCCAGGGAAAGATGAGATCGGCAGAGCTTCAGGATGTCACGACTGTGGCAGCTGCACCACACTGGGCCCCCGTCAGGACACGGTGACCACATGGTCGGCTGCACCGCACTGGGCCCCCACAGGACACGGTGACCACGTGGTCGGCTGCACCGCACTGGGCCCCCACAGGACACGGTGACCGCGTGGTCGGCTGCACCGCACTGGGCCCCCACGGGACACGGTGACCACGTGGTCGGCTGCACCGCACTGGGCCCCCACAGGACACGGTGACCGCGTGGTCGGCTGCACCGCACTGGGCCCCCACGGGACACGGTGACCGCGTGGTCGGCTGCACCGCACTGGGCCCCCACGGGACACGGTGACCGCGTGGTCGGCTGCACCGCACTGGGCCCCCACGGGACACGGTGACCGCGTGGTCGGCTGCACCACACTGGGCCCCCACGGGACACGGTGACCGCGTGGTCGGCTGCACCGCACTGGGCCCTCACGGGACACGGTGACCGCGTGGTCGGCTGCACCACACTGGGCCCTCACAGGACACGGTGACCGCGTGGTCGGCTGCACCGCAATGGACTCCCGTCAGGACACGGTGACCGCGTGGTTGGCTGCACCGCACTGGGCCCCCACAGGACACGGTGACCGCGTGGTCGGCTGCACCGCACTGGGCCCCCACAGGACACGGTGACCGCATGGGGTAACAGGCCTGGTGTCCCTGGAGTTCAGGTGGAGCGGCTGTGTGTATCCTGAGCTGACCTCCTGACTTGTTAGTGTGTGTTGTGCGTGGATGTTAGCGTCTGAAACACACCAGCTCAAGCGGGAGCCATTTCTGGTTCTCTGGCTGGGAAGGAGGAGCGACGGGGAGGGGCGCGAGCCAGGGCTGCCCACTCCAGTGCCCCTGGTGAGGTCGTGTCCTTTTGGGCCTTCTTGTCACATTGCAGTGCAGTTTACAGAGCACGGTCACCCATCACCCCCGCTGGGAGTCCACCACACCATGGGGCAGGCAGGCCACCAGGCAGTGGGTGGGCAGCCACGCGCAGAGGCAGTGTCAGGGCTCCACTCAGGCCGTGGCGGGCAGACCCAGCTGGGAGGGGCATGGTCACGGCTCCCCAGACTTACTCCCCCACTCGGCTGAAGTAGCAGTTACGACTCATCAAAGACTACCAGCCCAGACTGGCTTCTCTCTGTGCAGGTGACACCCGCTATAAGAGCTTTTGGACTGTAGGTAGACACATGGTGACCCCTGAGGCCTCCCTTGCCCTCGGCTACACCGCTAGTGGTGGCCTTGGCCACACTGGGGGGCTTGGGCTGTCCGTTTGTCGCCTGGATAACACCCCTGTTTAGTGCTGAGTGATGGGGCTTTCCGCACTCAGGAAGAGCCACTTGGGGGGCAACCCAGCTGGACACCATGAAACCCCAGGAACCCAGGAACAAGAAAGAGTCTGAGAAAAGTCCATGGCTCTGTCGTCCATCCAGCAGAGGCCAGCAGGGTCCTCTTCTGGGGCAAGTGGTGTGGGGAAGAGCTGTGCGGTCAGTGTGTGGGGGCGGGCACTGGTGGCGTGGAGGCACCGTGGGGGCCGGGGCAGCCTCGCCCACACTGCCAGCCAGGAAGCCTCAGGTCCCAGTGTCCTCCCACACTCGAGGAATCGTCAGGTGCAGGAGTGTCACGCCACCTCCAGTGGAGCCGAGGCGGGAGCCCCGAGGAAGGACGCCTCCTGGACTCGGCTGCGTCTGGCGGTCTTGGTGGTCCTCTCTTTGCTCTTATCTTTATGGCTGGAATAATGATGCTTATGCTCGGCAAAGGCTAATATTCCTTTTTAGTTCTACGAAGCTTCTGACGGGAGATTAAACAAGGATTGCAAGCGGTATGGGATAAAAACTATGAGGTCACTGGCTTTAATAAACCTACTTGGCACTATTTTTGGAGATTCCTAAAAAGATTACAGTAGAGATCTATAGCTTAAAAGAAGCCATACAGGAAGGAAAACTAAGAAAAATAGACAGGTTAATATTAAAACCAACGCACAAGGCACAATGAGAGCTAAGCGCTTAATGATTAAAACTGCAGCTGATGCCAAACCACGTCCACAAGAAACAGCAGCCGCAGTCTGTCACCAGGCTGTTCGGGAACAATCTCAACAGCCCGCTTACCTCCCTGGAGTAATTGTAGAAATGCAACCACACGAATAGACAGGAAAATGTCCCTTTGCAATCATCTCGTGATGGCTTGCTTTTGCAAAACGCACTCAGACTCACTGCCTTGAGTTGTCATGCCGTCACTCGCCGAATCCTTGCCCACCGTTCCGGGGGTCCTGTCCCCGTTGGACTGCTTGCTCCCGGCCGAGCCGGTCTGTCGCACAGGAGTGGCACCGTGGACAGCGTGGGGATTCTTCCCCCACCGGCAACGGACTCCTGATCCCAGCTGCCACTCAGGGTGACAGTGCAGGACTGTCCAGCACGCTGACTGGACTTGCCAGGGCCACTATGTCTTGTTGGGGAAAGGTCGCTTCGTGGCTGGGAGCTCAAATGGCAGCCTTGTTCAGACTCACCAGCTGCTGCCAGCTCATCTCAGAGACTTCCTGGGTAACACCGTCGCCAGCCTGTGGCACCTTCTTGCCTCTCCTGGGAACTTCGACACATCACACTGCTTAAGCCCACGACAATGTCTCCCTGTCACGCTCACGGTGCGACAGTGTGGAGCCACTCGGGGGTTAGTGGAGCTTGGTGAGCCTGCTGAGGTGTAGCCACAGCCCCGAGTTACCCTGTGTAATGCTTTCTCAGAGCGGTTCTCAAGGACTCGCAGTAACCAACCACGGCGGGGCTGAGGCCCCCTTGCACGATGCCGCAGGTGCCACGGTGCTCAGGTGCATGCTGGCACGGCTCAGCGGCAGCCTGTGTCTTGCTGTGAACTGACGAGTTGTGCACTGCAGCCCCCCTCCCTTCACGGCGTAGGGCTGCCCGGCTGAGGCCTCACAGCTCCCCTCTGACCACACTTGGCCCGGCTGTCCGCCCCCGCTCTGTGGTGGTGATGCAATTCTGGCCTTGGGAACTGCAGGTGAGGAGGTGATAGACAGGTGGCTGTGGCACTGAGGACAGGGAGGGTGGCCATTCAGTAACTCAGAAACAAGCTCTGCTGTCCACAGGAGAAGCGGACACGCAGCCCACTCCAGAGCAGAGGCACATGTCCTCCGAGCGCTGTCCCTGGGGAGTGACAGGGGTGTCGCCTGCATACAGGCTGCCAGGTCTTGGGCAGCTGCTCCGAGGCTGGCTCCCACGGGTCCTAGGAAACTGAGCCCAGCTCCTAGCCACTGAGGACCCATTAGGGCCACGGACTCGGGGGCTCCGGTCTGGGTGGCTGGGCATCACACAGCCGTGGGAGAGTTGGGTGAGGTTGTTCTGGCAGCTGCTGCAGGTCAGGCTGGCTTCCCCAGAGACGTGTGTCCATCACGGAGTGGGCATGCTGGCAGGCCCCGCACATCGCGCCTGCGTTGTACGTGAGCTGCAGCCCTCATGGCTTTCAAAGAGAGATTGTTTATTTGAAAGGTGAAGTATTAGTAAGGGGGCAGATCTCCCACTTTCTGGTTCACTTCTGAAATGGTCATGGTGGCCCAGGGCCTGGCCAGGCGGATGCCAGGAACCAGGAGCTTCACCCAGGCATAGGTGACAGGGCCCAAGGCCTTGAGCCGCCTTCTGCCACCTTCCCAGGATCCAAAGCAGAAGAGCCGGGACTTGAACATGCACTCCAGTATGGGATGCCGTTGTTACAGGCAGCAGTTCAGTGCGCTGTGCCACAGCCCAGGCCTCCTTGTAGCTGCTGTGAGAGGGCCTCAGCCGCCACAGGGTGGCTGCATCTGAGTGTCCTCCACAGTGCTTGGGAAGAGCAGGTCCTGTTGGCTAAGCCCTTTCAGGCCAGGCGAACGTGAGCCCTCTACACACGCAGGGTGCATGGTCACTCCTGCCCTTGTCCAGCTCTGGAGGCACCGGTGTCATGTAATCACGCAGTGGTGGATCTTCAGATTTGACGTGGGTCCGTCTCTCCAAGGTCACTGTCCCGGCCCGCGGGAGGCCCTGTGGGGTGGCCCTTTCCCGCGATGCCTCTCAGCTGAGAAGCTCCCAGGTTTGAGTAACAAACGCCCTGTGCATGTGGATGCCACGACGTGTTTCCGTGGCTGTGTGACACGCCCATTTCCCAGTCACGTCAGAGGTCACATTCCACGTGTACTCCCCTTGACCTTGAAGCCATGTTC